TGAAAGTACAATGGACTGCCAAGAAAACAAACAGATTCATCCTGGAGAGGGTTAAACCAGTCTGCTCCTTGGAGGCAAGGATTCTGGGGCTTCGTCTGACATACTTTGGACATGTTGTAAGGAGGGACTGGTCCTTGGAGAGGGACATTATGCTTGGGAGGGTGGAGGGACCAAGCAGGAAGGGAAGACCCTCTATGAAGTGGACTGATTCAGTGACTGGGGTAATTGGGATGGGTGTATTGGAGGCAGTGAGATTGACACAGGGCAGAACAGGGTTTAGGGTTGTTGTACATAGGGTCGCTATGAGTCACAAGTGACTGGAAGGCACTTAACAACAACAACAACCACCACATCTGAAAAAAAAATTCACTAACAGATACCAGTAAACAGGCAAACTACAAGCACATGACTGAGAAAAGCAGGCCCTGAAAAGGTTAACTCAGGATAGGCACACCTTCCCTCCTGTCAAGCAGGCAGATTAAGACTGGGAAAAACAGTTTCAAAGAGGTAAATGCTGATCTAGGAAAGATGCATTTCCTCTCCTGATAAACAGAAGGTTAAACTACTTTTTAAGACCACAACTTTTTGGTTAGCAGTCAAGTGCTTAAGCACTGTACCACCAGGACTCACCTTGCTGGAAGGACTTTTGGTATCATCTCTCTAGATGAGAGTGGGAGTCCCTGAGTAGTGCAAAGAGAACTTGTTGGTCTTCTAACCAAAAGTTTGGAGATTCTGGTCTAGTAGAACTGCCCTCAGAAGAAAGGTCTGGAAATCTACTTGAAAAACAGCCTTTGTAAACTCTTTGGAGCACAGGTCTCCTCTGACACACATGGGTCACCATGAGTCAGAGTTGACTCAATGGTGACTGATTGGAGCAGTGGAGGAAAGCTAGTTCTGCATCCTACCAGGGCAAGTAGCACAGAAGATGGCAGATGGAAGGTGGGTGCTACCTGGGGTCAGCTCAACCAAAAGCAAATGGGTCAGTTCTGCGTAGAAGGAGACATGAGGGAGGTAGGCCTTATTTGAGGGGCAGAGTGTAAGTTTGAAAGAATTCCTATAAACATAAGAAAAATTCATATTGCAGAAGATGCAATGAGTTCCAAAAATCTTAGCAATCTCAAAGTTCCAGTCATATGGCTGGGAATTGAAGAATAAAGCTCAATGACTTTAGTTTGCCAATTTTGCCTGTTGGACCCTAAAAAGAAAATGCTGGTGATATAATCTTAAAGCAATATCCTCTCAAGGTATTTCCCAGTGTGGACACCCACTAAGTCACTGACCTGAGCAGAGCATTAACGCTCAGAATTTGATTTTGCATCATCTCTAGCATAGGAATAGTAACAACATCTGCTCACAGAGAACTCATGGACCAATGAGGCATTACCCAGAGCCCAGCATGCAGTGTGCTTATTATTAATGTTTCTTCTTTTCAGCTGAGTCACATCTTTTCTTTCCTTGTCACTCTGTCTGGATTTTTTTTTTAGGTCAAGAGGAAGAGAGACTGGCCCTGGAAACTGCCCTGATGTATGGAGCTAAGAAGCCCCTCAACACGGAGGGTGTCCTCAAATCACGGTCAGATGTTGACATGGATTTTCAGGTGGAAAATGCAGTGCTGGGAAAAGACTTCACAGTCACCATCACTTTCCAGAACAACAGCTCCAACTCCTACACCATCTCTGCTTATCTTTCGGGCAATATCATCTTCTACACAGGCGTTTCCAAGGCTGAATTTAAGAAGGAGGCATTTGAAGTGGCCGTGGAGCCCTTATCCTGTAAGCTAGAACTCATCGTCTTGCTTGTACACCTTTCCTTACCCCAGTTTTGTCAAATTGAAAATTCTCCCACAGAGATCACAAAAGTGGACACACTTACGGGGAGAACTAACTTACTCTAGAAAGCCTTAACTTTCATCTCTGTATCTCATATATAGGGAGCTCTGGTGGCCTAGTGGTAAGAAGCTACCCTGCAATCCCAAAAGCACATGGTTAGAATCTACCAGCTGCTCCACGAGAGAAGAATGGGCAATCTCCATTCCATAGTAAATGCTATTTACTGCCTCTGAAAATCTGCTGGAGGGTTAATTATGAGTCAGTTCCAAATCAACAGCACACAACAACAACAGCATCTCATCTATAGAGGTGAATGATAACATTCTCAAAACTGAGGGTCATTTGGGCAACTCATGATACTCAAATGTATGTTAAATTTTTATTACTAAAAGTGTAGCTGGAGGCTGTTCCTTGGGCCTGCTGAATGAGGGTCTTCCTCTCACAAGCTCTGCTCATCCTTAAGACTGGAAAAGTTCATGAAGCCCTGGTCTGAACCACCCATCCTAGAAAGCAGGCCTTCTAAGGATTTTTCTCTG